TACCTGTTAACACTAACTTTTCATTCCCTCCTCTCTCTAGCCCCTGGCAACTACCATTCTCCTTTCTGTTTCTATGAATTTGATTATTCTAGGTACCTCATATAAATGAAATCAGACAATATTTGTCTTTTTGTGACTGGCTTATTTCACTTAGCATAATAGCTTCAAAGTTCATCCATCCACATTGTAGCATGTGTCAGAAGTTTATTCCTTTCCAAGGCTGAATAATGTTCCATTGTGTATACATACACATACATAATATGCATTATATACCCATTCTTCCGATGGTAGACATTGGGGTTGTTTCCACCTTTTGGCCATTGCAAACAATGCTGCTATAAACATTGGTGTACAAATATTTGTTTGAGCACCTGCTTTCAATTTCTTGGGGTATACACCCAGAAGTGGAATTGCTGGTAGCAGATCCTTTTTAAAATCAGTGAGTCATCCCTCTCATTTCTATGGGTCTAATATATTGCTAATTGGTTTTGTGGTTGAACTTATTGGAAAACTGCTATTCCTTCTTGCATTTTACATGCTCTGTTTCAGGTAAGTTTTCTTTATCTTCCTGGTGCACATCCATTAGAAATTTCTTTACAGAAGACTGTGTTGGTGGTAAACTCAGTTGTCATTTATTTGAAAATGTCCTTTTTTAGATTTTTGCTTTTGAAAAAAATTTATCTTGGTATACAATTCTTTGTTTACAGATTTTTTTCATTTATTTATTTATTTATTTATTTATTTATTTGCTGGCACTTTGATTCATTCCAGTGTCTTCTGGTTTCCACTATGGCTGTTGAGAAGTGTGCTACTGGTTTAGCTATGTTCCTCTGTAGATAATATATGTGCATCTCTATTCTCTCTAGCCTTTGAGATCATTTCTTTGTCTTCATTGTTGTGCAGTTTCACTAAAATGTACCTCGATGTGGGTTTCTTTATATTTGTCCTTCTTGGCATAAATTGTGCCTCCTATATTTCAACAATTTTTGAAAATTCTCAGCCATTTTCTTTTCAAATACTGTCTTGCCCTCATTTTTTCCCCTCATCTCTCCTCATGAGAATTCAATTTCATAGTTGCTGGACCTCCTAAGTCTTTGTCTCATAATTTTTCTATCTGCGTGTCTCTCTTTGCTGCATTCTGGGGCATTTCTTCAGATCCATTTTAACACACTATTTCTCTCTTCAGCTGTATCTTCTCTTTAATCAAGCATTGCAATTTTAATCTTAATGATTACATGCAATTTTTTTATCTTTTGATAGTCTATTTTTCCCTTTTTAATAATCTCTCTTATTTCTTATTCAGTTTTTCTGCTCCATCTTTTCTTCTTTAAGCATTTCATAACAGCTTCTTTAGATTATCTGATTATTCCAAACTCTGAAGTCCTTAAAAAGTCTAAACCTGTTGACTGTTATTCCTGCTGATTCTCCCTCACAGTGATTTGAATCCTTATAGTACATTTAGTACATTTTTTGTAAGTTTATATTTGGCTGAATTTAATCCAGAAGCCTGGATTGAGGATGCCTTCCTCTAAAAAGGATTCAGTTTGCATCTTCTGGACTCCAGGGGGCATTAATAATCTGGACCACTTAAATTTTTCATTGTTATGGTTTATTTGATCGAAGGGAAAGAGAAGCTCTCACATGGAAACTAACACTTTTATTAATTTAACATCTAGTGCTGCAGTCTAGACAGGTTTTCTTGTAGGTTCCCTCTGCAAGCAGGTGGACTTCATTCTTTCTACTAAGAATGTAGCACCTTTGATGGTCCCAGCTTTGGGGGGAACAGGGGTGTTTCACATTTAGCTCTCTCATCCTCCTAGACCCTAGTGCTTAGTATTAGTTCTCCCCAAACCTCCCACACTCCTACCCAGTCCCCAAAGCTCTAGGTTTCTAGTTAGTTGACCTCTCTGTTTATTTACTATTTACCTTTTGTTTTGTATGGTTTTATTTTGTTGGTTTCTGGGGGATGCCCTTGGTAGATTACCTTAATTTGGGGGAACTCACTAAGGAATTTTTTAAACACGTATTTGTTGTGCTTTATATAGTATTTAAGTTTTCTGCTATGGGAAGCTTTTAAGAACTCATACTACCAGAAGAGAATTTTTTAAAGTGATTATATGGTACATGTTGTTTTATAACCTGCTTTTTCCCCATTTGATATATGAAAAACACCTGTCATATAAATAGATATAGGTCTAGAGCATCATTTTAATGGTTATGTAGTCTTCTTTTTAAAATTTATTGATTGATTGATTTTAGAGAGAGACACAAGGAGAGAGAGAGAACATCGATTTGTTGTTCCACTTATTTATGCATCCATTGGTTGATTCTTATATGTGCCATGACCGGGGATCGAACCCCCCCCAACTTTTGTATATTGCAAGGATGCTCTAACCAACTCAACTGAGCCACCTGGCCAGGGCCTACATAGTCTTCCATTGCATAATTTATTTCATATTTTTCTTATTATTGGATATTTATGGTTCTATTTTTTTCACTATATTATTTTACTTATTTATTTTTAATTTTTTATTATTATTTTTTAGTGTATCTTTATTGATTTCAGAAAGAGGAAGGGAGAGAGAGAGAGAGCTGAAACATCAGTGATGAGAGAGTCATCATTGATCAGTTGCCTCCTGCATGTCCTCAACTGGGGATAGAGTCTGCAACTTGGGCATGTGCCCTGACAGAATCAAACCGGGATCTCCCGGGTCCTAGATCAATGCTCAACTGCTGAGCCATGACCAGCCAGGCTATGTTTTTTCACTATTTTAAACAACACTTTAGTGAATACCCTTATAGCTAAATCTTTGCATAACTGTGATATTCTTCCTTCTTTAAGTGTTTATAAAAATAATATATGCTAATATAAAATAGTCAAACACTAAGGAAAATGAAAATTCTCCATCTTTTTTGCTGTCACCTTAATTAATACCATTTGGTCTATAATTGAAATCTCTTAATCAAACAACAGATGAAAATTAGTTAGGGCTGGAATATGAAGAGAGACCACACCCTCTGTTCTCCACCTCTCACCCCAACAACTAGGGATAGGGAGCCAGAGCAGGTACTAGGGATGGGCTGAAGGTAACCAATGACAACCAGGAGCAGAGAACTGAAGGGATGAAAGACACCCAAATAGAATCCAAAAGCTTGGAACAACCGGGGTCAGGGGCATCAAGCCTTAAGAAAAGCCTAAACCTCAAAATCTAGAAATCAACTCTGCCTTGCCAGTCCCCTCCTGCCTGAAGCAGAGGGTCTTCTCAGGCATTCACTCTAGGCTCTGATCCCTGCCCCTCCTTCTTTTAAAGGGGCTTGGCTTATTTTGAGTCAAAAAGCAGTACAGGCTCTGACACTCTCCCCAACCCTATACTTTATAGTGGCTTACCCATGATTCTCAAGGTCTTGTCCCAACCATAAAAAGGCCTTTTTTCTTTTTGTTAGAAAGGTCTTTAAACACCCCCTCTAACTCCTTTCTGCCTGCTCCCCTTGAGTGGGGCTGAGATCTTGAGCCCAGAGTCTTCTCCCTAAAGGGAATCATGAAAGGAATGGCTGACCTCTCAGATGGCTCTTAGCTCCTGACTACACTTTTTTTTTGAGGACCTGCTGCACTTGTCTGTATAGTCTGTGAGATACCGTCATATCTCTATAATAAAGTCTATTTCAGATGGATTCTCTCAGCCATGCAGGTGAGATCCCCTAAACCATAAAGAAGCCCAACCTCCTCTTTTCTCCCAATAGGTATGGAGCTCCAGTTGGGAAGAGCAGCATCTTAAGGAAGCCCCAGAAGTTATGGTTTTTCATTTATTAATTCAATTTGACAATTCAAGGTACATACCAAGATGAGCACCCAGTGAGAGTTGGCACACAATCCACAAGATTGGGTCTCCCTGTGAAGGACTGAGTGCCCAGTGCTAGCTGTATCTACTTCCCAGAAGCTCCAGCCATGGTCAGGCCTTGCATTGGTAATATAACTTTTTGTCTACCCTAAATCTTTAAGGGTCCCCAAGCTCCTGAGTTCTGAAAAGCCCTTGTCCAGAGCATATGCTTGTGGGAAGGTGTATTAACCAGGGAATGTGCATGGGGGAGAGGGTAGGGACGCTCTGAGGTGTTTCCACTGCAGCGTACGCCTCCATGTCAACAACCCCTGGCTGGGCCATTATCTAGCTGACCACAATGCCCTGGGAGTGGGTCTTGGTCTTGACAGCAGACAAGTCACTACCAATGTCAGGGGCTTGCCTCAGTGAGAGCAGCTGTCAGGGACTGGGCAGGAACACAGACAGGGACCCGTCAGCACACTACTGAATGCTTCACACCTTCCTCAGCCACCTTCACCACCAACTGAGTGGTACAGCCCTGAAGCCTACGTGAAAATGGGAAAGCTTGATGGCTGGGAGCCAGGCTCTAAAGTTCCACACTGGCTTGGGCAAGGTAAACTCTCAGTGCCTGCATTTCCTTATCTATAAAGAACTAATGAAAGCAGTGCCTATGCCCTTCGAGTTCACATGAGAATTAAATAAGCTCATCTATGTACCTGGCACATGGCGAGCATTACAGAAGTGTTAGCTATGATCTTAGGGTAGCTGTGGGAGCCCTAGGACCAGGAAATCCTCCTCAGCACCATCCCTTCCCCAGCCCAGCCTTGGCAGGTGGTGCAGAAGGAAGAGACACCTGCTGTAGGAGTGGGCTGATTGTGGGTTCCTGGAAGGTGAGGGCTCCTTTGCGGCATCCTAAATGTCAGTGACACCTAACCGGGCTGTGGCATGTAGCAGGCTGATAGAGGAAATACCAGTTAGAAAAGAGAGCAATAAGCTTCCATCTGCCCAGCCCCTTGGGCGGGACTTTAGAAGCTGGACGAATTTGAGAGGCTCCCGCGGGCTCCCTTGTAAACGGAAGTTGTTCTGTCACTCAGGGTAGAGAAGCGGAATTAGTGCAGTGGCTTAGGTGCCCTAGAGACTGACCATTCTCCCCACCTGAGACCCTTCTCTGCTGCAAGCCCCACTCCCAGAAGTCACTCCATCCGTGTGAACTTCAAAGTTCCAGAAGCTCCTCGCAACTTTCAGCCTGATGTCTTGCAGCAAGTTGTGGTGAGTGGAGAATGAGACATGCAGGATGCCTCTTGGACTTCCTCAGGAACTACCCCTGTGCCATGGCCAGGGGACAGTGGGACCCACGGAGGAAGCTGTGGATTGTACCAATCCTGCTGAGTTACGGGGGCCTTGGGGTGGAGGGGTTGTGGGAAGCAGCAGGGATTGGGGCTATGGCCAGCTAGTGAAGAGGTCCCCTCTCTCAGGCCCAGCAGTGCCCCAGCCCCACTGGTGCCCATCGACTGCTTAAAGAACCCGAAGTTCATCAGCCAAGGAGGGTTTGGCACAGTGTTCCGGGCAAAACACGAGATATTGGATATGAAAGTGGCAGTCAAGATTGTGAATTCGTGAGTGCCCCAGCTGCTGGCTGGCTAGTGTCTTGTGGAGGAGGCAGGCTGCTGTCCTGGGGGGCCTGAGTGGGGAAGGGAGGGATCTGCCCAGCAAAGCAGGACCCCAACTCTCTCCTGGAGTATAGGGAGGCGATATCCAGGGAAGTGAAGGCCATGGCAAGTCTGCATCACAAGAACGTGCTGCCCCTGGTGGGGGTCACCGAGGAGCTGAATTGGGACCACGTGCCGAGGCCGGCTCTGGTGACTCCGTTTATGGAGAACGGTTCCCTGGCAGGGCTGCTGCAACCCCAGTGCCCTCGGCCATGGCCTCTTATCTGCCGCCTGCTGCAGGAGGTGGTGCTTGGGATGTGTTACCTGCACAGCCAGGACCCTGTGCTTCTGCACCGGGACCTGAAGCCCTCCAACGTCCTGCTAGACTCAGACCTGCATGCCAAGGTCAGCCTATCCACATCCCAGCCCAGCCTCTAGACAAGCCTGTGCCCCAAATCTGCTTCAGCCCCGCCCACTGACATAGCACCTGCTGCAACCCTGTCTAATGAATATCCTCAGCATCTCCCTCTGGACACAGGGCTGCCCAAGTGTCAAGGCCTACCCAGAAGCTTTAGCCTCTGCCAAGTGATAGATGCCCTGACTGACAGGGTCACTTCCACAAGCCCACCCCACTAGAGCCTCCAAAGACCCATGGCTGACAGCCCAGGAGACTCAGACCTTGACCCAGCCTCATAGAGAGGAGACCTCCAAACCAAGGGCCCCATTGTTCCTACTGTTCCCCTAACCCTCCTCACCCCCTTTACAAGGCTGGACCTGTACCTTCTGGGTTGGGGAAGGGGAGAGAAGGGGATTCTGGAAGCCACTTGGCCGTATTTAAACCCTACCTCCTCCTCCTTCCCTTCCTTTGCAGGTGGCAGATTTTGGCCTATCCACATTTTTGGGAGACGCACAGTCAGGGACAGGATCTGTGGAGTCAAGGGGCACCACAGCCTACTTGGCCCCAGAACTGTTGGCTGATATAAACCAGAGGGCCTCTATGGCCACTGATGTCTACAGGTAAGATGCCCATGCCAAACACACATCCCCAATTTTCACACCTCTCTGGGCCCTTCTAAGGGAAGGTATATGGGAGAGGAGTTTTGCCAAAGGTTGAGGGAGCCTTCAGCTTTGTGTCTCCTGCAGCTTCGGGATCCTAATGTGGGCCATGCTCGCAGGAAGAGAAGCTGAGGGTAAGACTTTAAGCAGATTCTGGGATCCTTAACCCCAGGTGCCCTCCTCCTGAAAGCCCCCAAGCCCTCCTCTTCCTGCCTACCTGCTCAGACTGTCCACCTTCCTCCTCACCTCCCCTTGGACTATACTCCCTGCCCCATTCCATGACAGAGCAGGTGGCCCCTCATACCCTGAAAACTTTCTCTTCATGCCCCCCACCCCCACCTCAGTAGTGAACAAGACATCAGTGGTGCGTGAAGCCGTGTGTGAAAAGCAGATCCAGCCCCCACTTAAAGAGTTGCCCCAGCCTGGCCCTGAGACTCCTGGCTTGGAAGAACTGTTGAAGTTAATGAAGCGCTGCTGGAGCCATGAGCCCAAGCACAGGCCTTCTTTTCAAGGTGAGCTGGCCATTTAACCGGCAGCTGGGTTGAGCCTGGATCTGTCAGCAGGAGGCTTTCCTAGAGAAAGAAGTTTTGCTTACCTGCCACCCACTCTGCCTTCTCTCCAGAATGCCAACCAAGCACTGAGGAAGCCCTCCACCTGGTACAAAACGGAGATGTAACTGGTTCAAAAATGGATGCTGCAGTCTCCACAGTGAGTACCCAACCCCAATCCCAACCTGAGAGCTGGGTGGGAATGGCACCACAAGGCTCCCTTGGCCACCCAGTTACTCCCCACTGACCACTGCTCTTTATGCCTTAACCCTCAACCTTACTCTCCCCACCCCACTCCTGAATTCCCAAGCACCAGTTTATGGACCAAGAGACTTCTTCCTTGGGTTTACTCTGGCGCTTCCACCTCCACACTCAGCAATTCTCCCTGTCCTTGCAGGTGAAGAAGTTCCTGTCTGAGCACAGGAACAGCAACAAGAGGTTGTCTGCCTCAGGAGGGACAGAAATGGATGGTCTTGGGGGAACCCCAGGAAGTTCTGATTCCATGGTTTCTTACATGCTGAAAAACCTGAACCTGAATGCGTCTTCCAGCTCTGTTTCTGAAAAATGTACAAACCTTCCTGAGAAGACTGAGGCACATAAAGAGCAGGTTCCACATGCTTGGACAGCAGGGCCATCTTCTGATTCAACAGCCCAACCTCCCCCAACTTCAGAGGCCTCACTATTCAGAAACCAGAGGCCCAGCCCCACCTTGGCTTGGACCACAGGTCCTGGACCCCAAGGAAATCCGGTGAGACCTTCGCAGGACTAGGGGATGCAAATCTTGTTCCCTTTTCAGGGAAAACTTGGGGCTGAGGAGGTATACTCTGGAAACAGGCTTCAAGACAGGGAGCCTGAGAGCGCTGTGTTGTTCACAGGAGGCTGAGAGATGTGGCACTAACTGCCCTTCCAGAGAGCCAAGGCCAGATCCAATACCAGGTACCCACTCGCCATTCCTTCTTTTCCCCTGCTCACTTCTTCCCCCAGCTTTGTCCTCAACACTGTGTGTGTGTGTGTGTGTGTGTGTGTGTGTGTGTGTGTGTGTGTGTATCCAGGGTACCTTGGGGAGGAAGGGGCAGAAAAAGGGCTAGAGGCCAGCTACCCTAACCTCATTTCATAAAAGAAGAAACTGGCACCCTTTGGGGTTGGATTCTGCTGAAATCGCAGCAAAGCCTGGATTTTCCCCCAGGCCATCTGGCTCCCCAGCACCACCTCTGTGAACCCTCAAATTCCATTGTGGCTATGTCAGTACAGAGGGCCTCCCAGCAGAAAAGATCCAAATATCAGTGTCAGAAACATCAGCTGCCACCACTCTTGAGCTTCTACACACCCAGTTCTGAAGGGGCAGCCTGCAGGGCAAAGGCAAAGGCACGCCTGACACCTTCACTGGGAGGCCCTGAGGCCCCATCTTTGCATTTCCCCAGGGTGAACACGAGGTGCCGCTGCCCCTCCACTTTGCTTTTCCTCCTAATTGAGTTGCTAACGACTTAACCCTCCCACTAACACCACTGTTTCTCTTAAAGGGCCATCGTCCGTTTCTATCCATAACAGTCAAGGGGTGCAGATTGGATACAACAACTTCATGACGATCCTAGGAGGAACTTCCTTAGAGACGGGGAAACTGCCACCTAGGGGCATGGGTAGGGGCCAGCAGCGCACCCCCAAGTAGCTTCAAAAGAAGTGCTGCAAGAACCTGACGCCTGTACTGGGCCACAGGGCCAGGATAATGATGCCAGAAATGAAGGAAGCAACTAAACCACATTCTGGCCGAGGCTTTCTTTGAGGACCATCAGGCCTGCACCTGAACTGACTTTGTGTGCCCAGGAATAAATAAAGTGCTGGAATTTTCACCAAAGTAGCATGCAGGAGGCTAAGGTGTCATCCATAGGCGGGAAGGGACATGGATGGGAAGTTGGAGAACTGACATCAAGGATGGGTGAGGCACTGCAGTCTCACTAAGACCGAAAGCGGGATGCTGAGAGCTGGGAGTGGGCAATGTCCTGGCTTCCAGGTCAGGGCCCAGCCAGTGACAGGAAGGAATCCCAGAGACCTGGCTCCTGGGGCCCACTGCAATCTCAGGGCAGAGCACTTCCCCTAGAGCAGGCAAGACCCGACCCTAAACCCTAACTCTGGGGATAGATGCTGTGGTCCCACTCTCCCCTCTTTTCTTTTCTTCTTCTTCTTTTTTTTTTTAAATATGTCTTTATTGATTTCAGAGAGAGGAAAGGAGAGGGAGAAAAGGGAGAGAAACATCAATGATGAGAAAGTCATCAATCGGCTGCCTCCTAAACGCCCCCAACTGGGGATCGACCCCGCAACCCAGGCATGTGCTCTGACCAGGAATCGAACTGCGATCGCCTGGATCCTAGGTTGACGCTCAACCGCTGAGCACGCCCGGCTGGCTCCCCTCTTTTCTTCTGGGCTACAGAGACATGGCAGTGGGGTCCTGGGGAGGGGCTCTCCGTGGGAATTTGCAAACCTCAGCCCATCTTGTGCCCTGCTTGAGAGACCCCCCCAGTCTCTCGGAGGTCAGCCCGCACACTGTCACCTTCCTCCTCCGCACACTGCTTCTGAGGTGGCAGCCTTTTGGTTCTCAGCTTGTGTCTGGGCGCGGAAAGCTAGGGCTCCTCAAAGCTAAGCACAGACATGCCCCCTCCCACGGAGCTGGAGATGGCGGGAGAATGGACCTTTGATCAGCCAGGGCCACAGCCGTTGCTGTCCAGGCCCGAGCGGCGGGGCGCGGGGGAGC